TTCCATCCTTCCTTTGGACAGAACGTGGCTGGTGCTTCCATCGCGCTGGGAATGTCTCCACTGGGCAAAAAAAGTGCTTTTCCCCCTCTCTGCTGTTCCTGGAAATGCTGGGCAGGGGCGGGAGAAGCCCCCGCTGCAGCAGGAAGCACTCAGCTCTTCATCCTCTTAGCCGGGCCCGCCGCAATTACATCTCAATTAACCAAATTACTCCGCCTCTCCCCCTCCTTTCAGCCCCTTCTCCGCCCCGGGGAGCCTCTGCCAGGAGCACTCTGGAGCCTCGGGCAGGAAGGGCTGGGAGAGAGGGATGGATCCCGGCGGGAGCCGCTCTTGGCTGCCAGGAATGGGGGACTGGGGTCAATCCCACATTTTCTGAGCCGTGGGATTTGCTTCCCGAGGGTTTGGGGGCTGGAAATAGGGCTGGAGAGGATCCAGATCTGCCCCTGAGTATCCTCCTTTCCTGGCCAGGGAGGGAATTTTGGGAATGTCGAGGACCGGCACAATCCAACCTCTGGTTCTGGATGGGATCCAGAGCTGATCTAGCTGATCCATTATCCCCCTTTCCTGTTTAGGCTGGGAATTTTGGAAATGCCAAGGACTGGCACAATCCAGTGTCTGGTGCTGAACAGGACCCAGAGCTGATCCAGTATCCTCCTTTCCTGGCGAGGTTGGGAATTTTGGGAATGCCAAGGACCAGGCTCTGCTGTTTTACCCTCTTGGAATTCGACAGGAATTACTCTCGGGCTCAGCATGAGTTTTGAACCATGTTTTATTATATGTTTAGTGTTTTCTCTATACAAAAAAATCCAGTCTTTTCTTTTTTTATAGTGATTCAAAAAAAAAAAAACACCAAAAAAAAGAAAAAGATATCTGAGTAGTTTGGCCTTCTCTCATCTCTCATGCAGTTGGTTTAGAAGTCCTTAAATTAAACCCTTTTTTTCCCCCCTTCTAATCCATAAATCTCGCTGGAAACTGAATTTTTACAGCCTCAGCTTTACATTTCTCACTGGAACAGGTGGGGTTAACGCAAAGGTGGTGGTTTTTTCTTCTTCTTTTGTTTTTGTTTTATTTTTTTGCTTTAAAAAAAAGGCAAATGAATACACAGGATACTTGAGACCAGCCGGGAGGTTGGACAGAGAGGACGGACAGATCACGAGATATTTACAAATTAAATTAAAACAAAACAGTCCCGGTACTTTCTGTCGGATGTGAGAGGGAGGAACAGACACTTAAAATGATGTTTTGGAGGGAGGACTCTGGTCTGTGGGTCTGACATGGGATTTTGGGGGTCTGACATGGGATTTTGGGATGTTGACAAAATTTTGGAGGGTTGACATGGAATTTGGAGGGTGGACATAGAATTTTGGGGGCTGACATGGAATTTGGAGGGTTTATGTTGGATTTTGGGTGGTTGACAAGGACTTTTGAGGATTGACACGGGTTTTTTGGAGTCGACATGGAATTTTGAGGGGTTGACATGGAAGTTTGGGGGTCTGACAGAATTTTGGGGAGTTAACACAGAATTTTGGGGGTTTGACACAGAATTTGTGGGTCACACATAATTTTGGATATTTGACATGGAATTTGAGGGTTTGACATGGAATTTAAGGATTTGACATGGAATTCTGGAGGTCTGACATAGAATTTTGGGGTTTGACACGAATTTCAGGGTTTGACATGGAATCTGGGGGCTGACACGGAATTTTGGGGGTCCGACACAGGGTTTAGACAGTGTTGAACAACCAAACCTGATGTGAGGACACGGAAACACAGGCGAGGGGCGCTACTGATGCCGTGGGTGGCGTTGTGAGGACCAGAAAAGCATCGTTACTCTTGTTAATAAAACAGCTTTTAGTGCAAGAAATAGGAGGTGTCTCTTTTTTTTTCTTTTTTTTTGTCCTTTTTTTTTTTTTTTTTTTTTTTTTCCTTGATAAGGTTTTGGTTTTTTATTGCTTAACTGAAATCTTGGTTGCTGCAGGTACACGGAAAGCCTGGGCCGAGGAGGTGACGTCGCAGGTGGCACTCGCAGCTCTGCTGGGATCTGTGCGGTGAGGAGAGGGTTTGGGATGTGCCAGGGTGGGTGGTGGCGTTGGGATGTGCCAGGAAAAGGTGGTGGCATGGCCAGAGCGAGCGCTGTGGTGGCCCTGGGTGACACTGCCCAGCTTTGCCCTTCTCCTTCCTGGATGTCCCGGATCGCCGGTGATGCCTGGATTTGGGATCTGTCACCTCCAGGAAGGCAATGCTGGCAGCAGGGACAGCATGTCCTGTTGGGTTGGGTTTCTCCAAGCAGGATTTCAGGGTTTGGACCAAAATTCCAGCTTTTCCCGCTGGTTTTGTGCCTCCAGTTGTGGTGTCACCTCAGGGAGAATGAGAGCAGCCTCCAGATCAGGGAAGCACAGCGATGTCCTCGTATCCCAAATTCCTGGCGTGCTGTTCCTTTCAGCTGTCCCAGGGCTGGGTGCCAGGGAGGTCCCTGGAACTGAGATGGAGCCTGGATTCATCTTCAGGACATAGATGTGGAGTTGGCTTGGAATGTGTTAGGAACAGGACAAATCTACACATTTGGGGTTGAGCTTGGCTCCTGAGACTGCTGGAATTTGGGGTTTGGTGCTGGAACTGGGGATCTGGCTCTGGAATTTGGGGTGTGGTGCGGGAATTTGGGGTTTGGTGCTGGAGTTTTGGGTCTGGCTCTTCCCTTTTTACTTCTGAATGAGAAGTTTGTTCCTAATTTAAACCCTTGTGAAGAAAGAGTTCTTTCTTCTGGAGAGCTGGAAGTGTTCCCTGCCCCAGAGAGGTTGTGCACATCCCAGGGAGGGATCGTTGTCCCTATGGTGGGAATGGGAGCATTCCGGCTAGCTTTAGGGGCCACCACAGGAATCAGGACAGGAGGTGACCGGGATGTCCCCTCTGGAGAAGGGATGGAGCAGCAGAGCAGCTCCCAGGGAATGGGATCAGGGTGGGGAAGAGCCCTCAGCACCACAAATCCTCATGTGGATCCTCCATCCATCCATCCATCCATCCATCCATCCATCCATCCATCCCCCATCCATCCATCCATTCATCCATCCATCCATCCATCCATCCACCCATCCATCCATCCATCCATCCATCCATCATCCATCCATCTCCTGCTCCAAGGATGCTCCCAGGACACGGTGTGGATTCATCCCAGCCCTGTCTGTTTTTTTGGGAGCTGTGGGGTCACCCTATGAGCGCTGTAGAATGTTTGGGGTCAGGGCTTTTCTCCTCATGCAAACCTGGAACTTTACCCAAAGAAGTAAAAGATGAGAAGCTTGGGATGAATTTTTAACCTGAATTTTCTTTGGGCTCCAAAACTCCAAGGGGGAAATTTTGAAGAAATGTCAGAATTTTTGCTAAACCTTAGAAATGTGGAGTAAGTTTTACACCAAGCTGAGACAGGGCTGTGAGTAACTTACACTGAGTTGTTTGTCCACCTCTGCACCTCCTCTCTCTTCTCATTACTCAAAGTAACCTGGGGAATTTTATGAGGAAATTTGGGATAAGGTTGGGCAGAGTCCAGCTCCTTCCCATTCCTTTTTCCAAAGGGATGATGAGAGATTTCCTCAGGGATGAGGTGGATGAGGAATAATCCATCCATCCATCCATCCATCCATCCATCCCCCATCCATCCATCCATTCATTCATTCATCCATCCATCCATCCACCCATCCATCCATCCATCCATCCATCCATCATCCATCCATCTCCTGCTCCAAGGATGCTCCCAGGACACGGTGTGGATTCATCCCAGCCCTGTCTGTTTTTTTGGGAGCTGTGGGGTCACCCTATGAGCGCTGTAGAATGTTTGGGGTCAGGGCTTTTCTCCTCATGCAAACCTGGAACTTTACCCAAAGAAGTAAAAGATGAGAAGCTTGGGATGAATTTTTAACCTGAATTTTCTTTGGGCTCCAAAACTCCAAGGGGGAAATTTTGAAGAAATGTCAGAATTTTTGCTAAACCTTAGAAATGTGGAGTAAGTTTTACACCAAGCTGAGACAGGGCTGTGAGTAACTTACACTGAGTTGTTTGTCCACCTCTGCACCTCCTCTCTCTTCTCATTACTCAAAGTAACCTGGGGAATTTTATGAGGAAATTTGGGATAAGGTTGGGCAGAGTCCAGCTCCTTCCCATTCCTTTTTCCAAAGGGATGATGAGAGATTTCCTCAGGGATGAGGTGGATGAGGAATACGGCTTTTCATGGGAATGGCACATCATGGGTACCCAACATGGACCTACTTCCAGCAATCCTGGCCTGATTTCTGAAGGTTTGGAGATGCTTTGTGGTCCCTGTCAGCAGCGAGGACTGGGAGTGCTGGGAAGATCCCAGATCCAGAGGCTGGATTTGTTTCTCATTCCCAGCGGTGCTTGGGCGGGGAGTAGCTCAAACCCAACTGGGAGTTGGGAATGGGTTGGGAATGGGATCGTCCCCATCCCAGGGGCAGTGTCACCTTTGGGAATGGAATTGTCCCGATCCAGGGGCGGCGTCACCTTTGGGAATGGGATTGTCCCCATCCAGGGGCGGTGTCACCTTTGGGAATGGGATCGTCCCCATCCAGGGGTGGTGTCACCTTTGGGAATGGGATTGTCCCCATCCTGGGGGCGGTGTCACCTTTGGCCTGGGTGGGTGTTTGCCTAAAAGCTGGGTGGAATTCTGGGAGTTGCTGTCCTGAACGGGATGTGTGGCAGGACTGGGATTGGGGCATGGCTGTGTCCACACTGAGGGTCACAATGGGGCTGTCCCTGCCAGGGGACATGGCTGGAGGGTCCTGGCAAGGGGTGAGGATGAGGGACATCCCTGGGACAGCTCCCCCAGCTCTATGAGGGGGGCTCTGCCTCTTGACCCTGACCTAAACCCTGGAATTCCTTTGCCGTTGGTTTCATGGAGCAATTCGGGTGGGAAGGGACCTTTTAAGGTCACCAAATCCAACCCCACGGGCTCCATCTTCACCTCACGTTTGACCTATCAGAGAAGACGACCAAGATAAATGATAATTATTATTTTAAGGAAGGCATTTGCATTGGATTAATTTGCATCCATCTCTCCTGTCTGCCCAGTCCGGGCTCTTCCTGGGATCCATCGGGATGTGGCAAAGTCCCTCTCCACAATCTGTAGCAGTGGGAGTATCCCCGTCACCGACGTGTCTCCAGAGCAGAAAGAATAACTGCGTGAATCCCATTGCATCCCATCCAAAAAAACCTCCATCCTCCTCAGAAAAAAAAAAAAAAAAAAGAAAAGAAAGAAACAAAAGGAAAATCCATCCAGAAATCCATCTTTTCTGAAAGAAACTCGATCTCTCTCTCTCTCTTCGCAAAGGTACCTTTGGTTTCAAAAGTGCAGGAAGTGGGAGGATTCACGGGACGCAGTCCGTCAGGAATCCCTGCCTTCTACCCTGATCCGTGCTGGGAGAGCTGGGAACGCTCCCAGATACCCCATTCCTACTGCTCGGGCGGATCCGAGGCCGTGGGGGCGCGGAAGCGGAGTGGGAAGAGCATCCTTGGAGTGACTCCCCGGCAAGTCCCAAGCTGTGTAAGGCATGTGAGGGAGCGCTCAGGGGGGGTCACTGAAATCCTGGGAGTCTCCAGGCGGGATGGGGATCCCACGGTGGCTTGGCTGAGTGCTGGAGGGGGAAAAGGCCACTGTCAGAAAGGAGGAGGGGGTTTAGTGGGAAAAACAGCGTCCGGTTCATCCCAGTGCCCGTGGAGGTGTGGGTTCCATTCTGGTGTTCCTTCCTTGTGGTGTGGCCCTGAATCCTTCAGGGAATCCTCCACCTGATCCCAGGGTTTTTTTTCCATCCTCAGCAGCTTGCTTGGATTATTTTTTCGTTCCTCATTTTGGTCTCCTCATCCTATTCTGATCCCGCTCCTTCTTCCAGGCCCTCTTTGCTACATTGGATTTATGGAGTTGCCTTGGAAAGAAAGCAGGTGTGGGGTGGGGGGGTGGCTGCCCCCCAAAATCCCTACAAAGCAAATTTAAACCCAAAAAGGTTTTTCTGCAGTGATGTTACCCCGGGCTTGGCAGGGGAGAGGCGCTTCCCTGTCCTTCCACACATCCCAAAAGTCCCTCCACAACATCTTCTCCTCCTGGGATGCTCCGGAGCTCAACGGGAATGGGGGATGAGCTCCCTGTGGGTTTTCCCAGCCTCAGCAAGGACAAATCCTGGTGCTGAGGGAGGTGGTGGGGACCTGCTCTTCCCTGCATAGGTTTTTAAGGAAGGAGGGGTTTTTGGGAGAGGTTATGGGCAAGGTGCTGCCGTGAGGATGGACAGCTGAATAATCCGGTGTTTTCACCCCAAAATCCACCCCTTCCCTCCTTCCATGCCTTTGCTCTGCCCAGGCCCCTCTCACCCCTCTTCCCTCCCCAAAATCCTTTGATTTCTTTCCCCTCTGATCCAGAACCTTCCTGGAAAAATTAAACCCAAAATGTAGGAGCTCCCTCCTAAAAGAACAAAAAAAAAGCCTTGGGGAGCCGAGCCCAACACGGGGCCCCTCCAGACTGGTCCTGAGGCAGTCCCAAACTGGGGACCAACCCCAAAACTGGGGACCAACCCCAAAGCTGGAGAGCAACCCCCAACTGGGAAGCAACCCCAAAACTGAGGAGCAACCCCAAAATGGGGGAGTAAACCCAAAACTGAGGAGCAACCCCAAAATGGGGGAGTAACCCCGAAACTGAGGAGCAGCCCAAATTGGGGAGCAGGCCCAAACTGGTGAGCAGCTCAAGCATCTCCTCCCCTCTACCCGCTCCAGCTCAGCTCCGATTCCCGCTCCGGCTCCCGCCCCGCGCGTCCTTTGCCGTTGGCTCGTTTGCTAAGGATAAATGGCATTGGCGGCCGCCTGGGCTGCCTCGTTGCTTGGAATATTTTTTTTTTTTTTTTTTTTTCCTTTTTTTTTTTTTTGTATTTTTTTGCTATTTTAATTTTTTTTCTCTATTTTTTTTTTGTTTGTTTTTTTCAGTCCTTGCTCAATTCCCTTTCCTGTTGGAGGCAGCGGCGGCGGCGGCTGCCGGCGGAACCCCCGGCCGCTCCGAACCCCTCGGGCTGTGGGTGCTTTTCCCGGCATTTTTGCTATGCCAAGGAATAAATGGCATTGACAGGGGACGTGGCCTCGGAGCTCTCGTTGCCCTCGGTCTCCTCTTTGTCCTTCTTGACCGTGTACTGGCCGATGAAGGAGCCGTCCTCGTTGAACTGGCCCTCGCCCCCTTCTCCGTAGTCCACCAAGCTGTCATCGCTCTCCTGCTGCTTTATCGTCCCGTCCAGCGAGGTCTGGCTGTTGGGAAGAGGTTTGTTGTCTTCATCGCTGGCAGCAGAAGACAGACAGACACGGCAAGGGTTGAGAAATGGGGCTGAAAACCTTCCCCCGAGGGATGGAGATCCTAAATCAATCCACAGCGGGAATACAGCTCGGCAGAGCCCTAAATAATGGGGACTTGTCCGGGTGTTGGGGTGTGTGGGAGGTGGAGGTGGTTGGGATCTCTGAACACCCAATTTTGTGATTTTTCAGCTCTGGAATCGAATTTCTTAACCTCATTTTCCTCATCTCAAATTTCTTAAACCCTGATTTCTTCATCTCGATTCCTTTCCCTCAATTCCTTAATCATTATTTCTAAATCTCAGTTTATTAACCTCAGTTTCTTAACCTTGGTTTCTTACCCTCAGTTTTTTACTCTCAAATTCTTGCTCTCAATTTCTTTCCCTCAGTTTCTTTAATTTCTTACTCTCAATTTCTAAATCTCAAGTTTTTAACCTAAATTCATTAATCTCAGTTTCTCACTCTCAGTTTCTAAATCTCAATTTCTAAATCTCAGGTTTTCTTGCCCTAGATTTCTTAACCTCAATTCTCCACCCAAAACTTGGATTGACGGGGCTGGAAGAGCATCAGGAATATTCTTCCCTTGGATTTTTTCTCTCTCAGTGTTTTATCCTCCCTTAGTAACCTGGTTGAGTGGTTTCTCCCCAGATTTCCTTGAGAAAATGCAGTTTTTCCTTGAAAAAACCACATTTTTTTCTTGGAAAACATGGTTTTGCCTTGAAAAATATGCAGTTTTTCCTTGAAGAAACACAGTTCCCCTTGAAAAATCACATTTTTTCTTGAAAACAGAGTTTTTCCTTGAAAAAATGCAGTTTCTTTCTTGGAAACCACAGTTTTTCCTTGGAAAAAAACACATGCAATGGGAAGCATTGCAAGGGGACACTTTTAGGATGCCAAGTTTTGTGCAGCTTCCAAAACTCCTGGGATTTTCCCTTTCCCAGTTTATTTCTGGGCATTTTTCCTTGCTCAGTCTGGGTTTTTCTCCTTTTCACTAAAAGCCAGGTCACTTAAAAATGAAGAGTTTGACCCAAAAGGGAAAAATACCACTTAAAAGAATTCTTTTTAACCAAAATCTAACCAGGGAAAAGCTGTTTTTTCCTTGGAGGGCAGGGACTGGTATCGCATAAATTGAGATATTTTGGGAAGGATGAGAGTGGATTGCTCTGAATTGATATAAAAAATTAATTTTTATATCAACTATTCCTTAGTTCATGCAAATTCTGTCATATTCCTGAAGGTATCCCTGAAATATTTGTCCTCCCACCTCCATTCCTGTCTTTTTCCAGTTGTTTTCTGTTTTGGTTTTTTTTTTAGTTTGGGATTTGCCAGGCTTGCTCCACTCCATTCCTTTATTTTCCTTAAAATTGGTGAAAATTTAGGGATTTTTAATTTTTTGCACTTTGCTTGTGCTCTTGAGCAGGGCAAGGCATTAATTCTCCCTCATTCCATGGGATTAATTCTCCCTCATTCCATGGGATTCATCAGCTCCCTGAAGAGGAATTCGGGATCCCACTGCTCATTTCCTTGGATCGTCGCTTTGGGAATTCCATGATAAAACAACCCCGATATTTGAGACTTCCTATTAACTTGGCATCACAACAAAAAAATTAATTCGTTAGCTCTGGAAGCAGATTTTTTTTGGGGGGAAAAAAGGAGGAATAATTCAGTGAGGAAGCAGGACTGGTTAGAAAGCCCCAAAAAGGCGGAGTAGAGAGCGGCAAAACGCAGATCCTCGATCCCCAACGCCCCTTCTCAAACCTTGAGGGGCAGCTCATGCTGAAGCTGGAGCTGGATCATCCCTAACCGCGGGGTTTGTGGCACCAAATTCCCACCAGGAATGCATTCTCAGAGAATTCCTGCTGGTTTCACCTCTCTCTCCAGGACCTTTTATCTCGTTAGTGCATTAGGAGGGAGCAGCGGTTTTCCGTCAGCTCCTGATGGGATCTAACTCTGTTAAAATGGATTTCTGGGAGTGCAGCTGAACCAGGCGTTAGGGAACTGGAGTGCCCAGGTGGGAATCACGTGGGAAATGCTCTCCTGAATCCCATAAATCATTGGGAAGAAGAGGAGGCTGGAGCCAGAGGGAGGATTTTCAGGACTAAGAGTGGACAGTTGGATAGGATCCAGCGGTTTTGTCCCATGTCCCTTGTCCCCATCCCCTGGGACATGCTTTTTCTTGGAAAACAACAGTTTTCCCTTGAAAATCCACAGTTTTTTTTCTTGAAAAATCCCACGTGCATTCCCAAATTCAATCCTGCTCCACCAGGGGGGATCAGCAGCTGGAGCTGGGGGGCATGACTGGATCTGGGGGGTGCACCCAGCCCACGGAGCAATTCCAAGCAGGATCTGAGTCTCCGGAAGCCCCGATGGCAGCGGGAATTAGAGGGATCTTGTTTAATGTGTTAGGCAGGGATGTGGGAATGGGGACAGGGGAGTTTTGGCTGTGAAGAAATCAACAGGAGGAAGGAAGGAAGGAAGGAAGGAAGGAAAATAAAATTCCCAAAAAAGCGGAATGTGCCGGACTTCTGGCAGCACGAGGTCCTACCTTTCAAGAGACCTTCACGGTCCATGTGGATAGACCAGGTGAAAAGGAGGAGAAGGAATGGGAATAAAACAGAGAGAAGCAGAAAGAGCCTGATCAGAGAGAGAAATGAGGAGGTTCTGCATTCACAGGGGTGGTGCTACGACCCAAAAAATTTAAAAAAACGGGAATTGTCGCCTCGTTATACCAAATGGAGCCAGGAGAACAATTCCAGGTGGGATCAGCATCCTTGGAAGCCATCCCAGCATGGAAAGGGACATCCAAGAAGGGCTGGGTGGTGTCCAGGGGACAGTAGTGGCTCTGGGGAGCCGCGTGCTTCAGGACAAGGTGGCAGGGTTCACCCCAGTGCCCTGCTGGGATTCCTTGGAATGGCCCTATGGATAAATCTGCACCTTCCCAGAGCTTTTCCAGAGCTTTCCTCCCTCACGAGGCTCCTGGGACAGTTCTGTGTCCTCCCTTCTCACTGCCTGTTGAGATGTCCCCTCCTCAAGTGGCACTGCCTGCACTGTGTCACATGTGCCCCCTTCCTGGAAATCCTGACTGGGAATTCGGACCCTAAATCCCCTTCCCGGCATCCGGAGTTTGCAGCCGCCTCCCCAGGGGCAGCACAGAACATTTGGTATAATGAGGCATGGCACTGGCATGGAACAATGTCCATGGATAATGGTCCTGGCCTGGGAAGGAGCTTCCCTGCTTGGGAACACCATTATCCCGGGACCGGAGTGGTGTGACGGGATCGTGGGATGAGGAGCGTGGAGAGTGGCATGCACAGGGCGCTGGGGACGTGAGGGTGACGAGGGCACAGCAGCCATGCCATGGGGAGGAGGGGCGGGAGCCGGGATGGGCTCAATTCCTGCCCTTCCCTGAAATCCCAAATGCCGCCCCTCCCGGAGCCCGGCCCCGCAATCAGCCCCGAGCTCCACCAGCCAACAGCTCCAGCCTCCGGCTTCACCTTCCCTTCTGCCTCCCAGAGGGAAACCTCCTGGAGTTCTCCCAGGAATCTGGGTGTTCCTCAGGAGGAGGGGACAAATTTGGTGGGTTTATGGGTTGTAGGATTTTTTTGGGTCGTTCTTATTAGATTGGGTTTCCCCCCCCACCTTTAATTAGTCCATAAAACTCCATGGACTCCGTCCCAGAGTTTTATTGTCCTTCCACCGGCTCCTGCCTTTCCCTTGGAAATTTTGGGAATGGGGTTTTCCGTAAAAGTCAGAGCTCCAGCTGAGCAGAAGGATGAAGGATTCACCCCAATCCTTCCCCTTGCCTGGAAAGACACAGCCCTTGGATGGTGCCAGGGGATTTCTGCCAGTCATTCCAAGAGTTTGGATTCCCTTCGGAGCAGGAGGGTGCCTGGCCATGGATTTGAGTCAGGAATGGTGGGTGGGGCCAGGAGGGGTGGCTGGACCCCCCCCACTCTGTGGGCTCTGGAGAAGCAGAGCCGGGAAATCCAGGAGTGCTGCCAGAAGCTTAGCCTGGGGGAATCCCTGTGGGAATCCCTGTAGGAATGGGGGGTTCAGGCTTCCCACAAATCTGGGAAGCACGAGGCTCCCTATTCTGACTGGAATCACCGTTTGGGTGTCCTGGTTAAGGCTCATTCCCGTGCCAGGAGTGCCCCGTGAAATCCTGCCTTGGGAAGGGATAGGTCTGATCCCAAAACCTGCAGCAGGACCGGGCTGGGCTTGTTCCTCCTCTGCTGTTTTCCCTGTCCCATCATGGAATCTGAAGGGAGCATCCCAAAAATTCACAGGTGGAATTTTTGGCGACCCCTGGAAGTGCTGAGCAGCAGGGAGGGGAAGAAGGTGTTGGCCCTGGGTGTTGTTTAGGACATTAAGGAATGCCAGCCTCTCCCTACAACATCCTGCTTGTATTCCATGTTTTTGGGGAGTCTGGGGAGCTTCATGGAATCCTTTGGAATAAAGAAATCTCTCTGAAATGGAGTTCCTGTTCCTCTGACAAAATAAATGTAATCCCTGGTTCTGTTCCATTTGTGTTTCTGATTCATTTTGTTTCCCCTAAATCCTCTGGCAGAATCCATCCTTACTCCATCCCTTCCTGAATCCCAAACTGCTGAGAATAACATGGGATTCAATGAACCCTTGGTTTAAACAAGGAGTAAAAATTCCCACTGGGTTTTGGCTCCAGCTCAGGTGGGAAAAGGAATTTTAATTCTTTAAGGAATTCAAATTAAAATGTCCCAAATCCCCTCAGCTGCTGAGTGAGCCCTGACAGCAGGACCTGCTTCCGCTCCCGGGGGATCACGGAGAGCTGGGAATGCTTGGGAAGCTCCTGTCCCTTTCTGACACATCCCGGGAGATTTCCTGGAGGGGAAAAAGGCTCTGCTGCTCTTTAAGGGTGACATTTGCGTGCAAAGAGTGGGATGGAGCTGGGGCAGCCAGAGAGGGTCCAGCTGAATCCATGCTGGAGCCTCATTGGGGTTTTTGTGGGATTGTGTGGGGCTGGAGAAGAGGCAGACCCCAAATCATTCCCCTTTCCTGCTTCCAGGGCAGATCTCTACAGAGCTTTGGGCATTTCTCCCATGGATATTCCATTATGGGAAGGACAGGGGCTGAGCTGTGGGTGAGACTGCAGAACTACCCTCAGGCTGCTACAAAATTTGGGGTTTTGGGGTGGTTTGGGGGGTTTTGTTTGCCAGGAGTTCTATTTAGGTGTTCTATTAAGGGTGTTCTGCTCCTGGTGGGAGCTGATCCCAAAATCCCAGCTCTGCCCTGACTGATCCCAACAGAACTTTGGGCATGTCTTCTTTAAGATACTCCATAAATACCCTCAGGCTGCTACAGAGTCTGGGTTTTTGGAGTGGTTTTTTTTTGGGATTTTATGTGTTAGAAGTTCCATTAAGGTCGCTCTGCTCGTGGTGGGAGCTGTCCCAGGGAGCTGATCCCAAAATCCCAGCTCTGCCCTGACTGATCCCAACAGAACTTTGGGCATGTCTCCTTTAGGACACTCCAGAAATACCCTCGGGCTGCTACAGAATCCATTTTTTTGGGGTGTTTTTTGGGACTTTATGTGTCAGAAGGTCCGTTAAGGTTGCTTTACTCCTGCTGGGAGCTGTCCAAGGTCGCCGATTCCAGAATCCCAGGAAAAGGAGGTGGGACCCCACGACCTGGCGGCTCTGGCAGTGTTTCAGGAGCCGTTTCCTTCGGGAATTACAGCGGGAAGGCGGCAGGAGGAGGAAAGGGGGGGACAGGGATCGTTCCGGGGGGATTCGTGGCACCACGGGATGGGGGAGGGGGTTGTGATGGTGGGGGAGGGGCTGATGGGGGGGTCGGACATTCCACGGGGTCCTACCTGTAGTCGAAGGATCCGTCCTCCACGTTCTTGTCCTCGGGATTGAGGTGCTCGTCCTTGTTGTCCCGCACTGCGAAGGAGCAGACCCCCCCCAGTTAAACCAGTAAGGACTGAAGGGTTTGGGAATGGGGAGGAGCTGGGGAAGGGTCCTGAGGGGTCCCTGAGGGAGAAGAGCTCGGAGAGGTGAAAAGTGCGCCGGGGAGAGCTTGGAAAGGATTACAAAGGGGTTACAAAGGGTTTGCAAAGGGGTTACAAAAGGGTTACAAACGGTTTGCAAAGGGGTTGCAAAGGGGTTACAAACGGTTTGCAAAGGGGTTGCAAAGGGGTTACAAAGGGGTTACAAAGGGTTTGCAAAGGGGTTACAAAAAGGTTGCAATGGGGTTACAAAGGAGTTACAAACAGTTTACAAAGGGTTATGAAGGGTTTATAAAGTAAAAGGATCTGAAAAGCCTTTGGGAAGCGTTTGCAAAAGGTTGGCAAAAGGTTTGCAAATGAGTCTGCTGTGATGGCACAGTGAGGGGACATTTTAATTGTAGGCTTTTCTTAATTTGGAGAAATTATATTGAATTTATTTCTTAAAATGATAAATGATAAGCACATCATAAATGAGAAATAAATAATAATATTTTCAATAAAATATTAATACATTTTATTAGTAAATATGTGTAATAATAAAGAATACATTAAATTATACTTCTCATAAATTTATATCTGGAATTTATATATAAAACTGTGTGAAAATGTGTTTATAAATTTATATAAGAATCTATTTATAAATTTATAAGTACAAAAATTATGTATCCACAAATTCACGACTATAAATATAAACCCCTCACAATCCCAATTCTCCAACACCTGGATTATCCTCAAGCATCCTGGACTTGTTTAAACCTTGAGAATGCCCATTCCTGACTCTCACCTGGATATTCCCCACCACTGGATGATACCACACCCATTTAAATCTTGGGATTTCCCATTCCCACCCTCACCTGGATATTCCGCAGCACTGGATGATCCCCAGCAATCCCAGACCGATTGAAATTCTGGGAATGGCCATTCCCATCCTCACCTGGATACTTCCCGCCGCGGCTCCTCTTGATGAAGCAGACGATGAGGAGGATGAGCACCAGGAGGGCGATGGCGCACATGAGGCCGATGAACCAGCCCTGCGTGGCGATGTCCACCTGGTTCTTGGTGTAGGCTGCGGAAAAAGGGGAAAATATTCTCAAGGAATGGAGTACACCATGTAAGGAATGGAGGAAGAGGAATTCAGGGCGCTGGTTCAGGAATTTTCTTTAGTTTGGGCGTGTCTGGGTGTGTGGATGTGGTTGTAGTGCAGGGATTTGTGGTTTTTTGGTGTTTTTTGGTGTTTTCTTTGTGGCTTTTTAATGCTTCATTGGTGATTTTTTTTGGTGGGTTTCTGTGGTGTTTCTTTGGTGTTTCTTTGGGTTTTTTGTGTAGCTTTTTGTGGTTTTTCCACAATGTTTTTGGTGTTTTATTGGTGTTTTAATGGTGTTTTTGGATAGGGTTTTTCTGTGGTTTTGCGTGGTTTTTGGGTGGCTTTTGGGTGTTTTTTGGTAGGGTTTTGGTGGGTTTTTCGTGGTTTTTTTTTCTTTTCCTTTTATAGTGGAAAATAAAATCAGTTTTTTCAGGAGTCACAAACAGTGAAAGGGCCAAACAGAAAAGAAAATCTGGGAAAAGGGAATTGCAAAAAAAGGCAAAGGAAGCTGAGGAAGGAATTTGATGGAATTTGCTGCATCTGAAAATTGCCCTGGGTGCAGGAAGATCCAAGAGAAACATTCCCAAGTCCTGCTGCTCAGCGATTTTGGGCAGCACTGCTGGATCAGGGAATTGCTGAATTCTGAGGGCTCACTGGAAGCCTTGAACTGGATGAACAGGAATAAACTGGGATGAACTGGGACGAACTGGGATGAACTGGTGTCCCTGCAGAGGTGACAGATGTGGCTCTTCTGCCACCACCACCTGGGTGGTGACCGAGGGTCTCAGGGCTGGGGTGGGCCTGGTGGAAGCCCCCAAGACCTGGGAAGAAGTGGGAACTCCTTGGAATGCCAACAGGAATGCCACGGATCCAACCCTGGTGTCCAGGGATTTGGGAACTGGAATCCCCAGTGGATTGGGGAACTGCTGAGCCCAGAAGGTTCACTGGCAACCTGGAACTGGGATGAACTGGGATGAACTGGAGCGTAGAGGAGTCTGATAGCTCCAAGTGTTTTCTCCTGGAGCAAATTCCTGCTTCCAGCACTTCCCAAGGCTCCTGCCTGTTTATGGGATTCATTCCAAGCCTGTTCCCATCCTCCAGCTCCCGTGTCCTCTCTGCCATTCCCCAACTCCCGGCTCGCAGCTCTCCCACACGGTCAGACAGACAAATCCATGGCCTAAAAATAGCTCCAAGGCTGCCTTTTCCAGCCTCTCCTTGGAATTCAGTGAGGCAGAGGAGAAAATAACCTTCAGCAGGGCGGAGGGGCTGGATTTATCCAAGCTGAGGGAAAACCGAGGCGTTCCCGGTGGGAATGTGGGAGAACCAGGGTGACTGGGATGGGGTTGGGAATGGAGAAGGGCAGGAGATCCTGAAAATCCTGAAGATCCTGAAAAGCTGGCGAGAAAAAAGAGGGATAAAGAAAGCAGGGAGCAGCCCTCCCTTAATGTGCTCAGAGAGAAAGGATCTTGGAAGAGAGACAGAGAAGGAAAAAATGGGTTGGATTGGCAAAAATTCCTAACCCACAAAATTCCAGGGACCAAACTGTGCCCATTCCATTGGAATTGAGGCCAAAAGGAGAAGTGCTTTCCTTGGGATGAAATCCAGGGAATTGCAGGTGAACCATGACAAGGAAATTCGAATTAAAGAGGAGAATGACACGGAGGAGAATCTCTGGTCAAGAAGTGATGCTGAACCGGAATGTTTTGTGGATTTTGGGCAGCACCAAGAAGGGAAGGAGCTGCCTGATGGTTCCTTTGGCTCCAACGCTGCCAAATCCCACATTTCCTTGGTCCCAGCCTGAATTCCAGAGTCCTCAAGGATGTTTGTTTAGATGGAGAGAATGAGATGATGGCAAAGAGATGGATTCAATAATCCGAGTGCTGGGGAAGGGAAGGGGAAGGGAAGGGAAGGGGAAGGAAGCTTTGCTGGAAAACCTGGAGATGGAAAAATTCCATGAACAGCGATGGGATGGGATTTTTCCAGGGAGAAACAAGAAGGTCTTCAAAATATGAAATTCCAGAGAAGCCTGAGAGGTGGGGTGGGGTGGGAGTTGGAACTGGGCTTGGAAAGGAGGGAGGATTTTAAACCCCGAGTCCCCAGGAGATCTCACAGGAGGATGGGGGCACTGCTTGTAGGAAGGGGAAAATTCCCCATCTTTCTCAAAAAAGGGGGGATAAATCTGCTCCAACGCTGCCAAATCCCACATTTCCTTGGTCCCAGCCTGAATTCCAGAGTCCTCAAGGATGTTCGTTTAGATGGAGAGAATGAGATGATGACAAAGAGATGGATTCAATAATCTGAGTGCTGAAGGACTCTCCAAACCCTTCCCAGCTCCCTCAGGACTCTCCAAACTCTTCCCAGCTCCCTGAGGACTCTCCAGACCCTTCCCAAGCTCCATTCCCCTCCCTGGACACTCTTCCCAGTGTTTGGACAAGTTGAGAAACCCATTTATTTATTTATTTACTTAAAATTTAGCAGACCTCCTTCTCTACTCCGCTATTTTTGTCATTTCCAAGTGCCCTTTGCTCCTGGGAGGAATTTTTTTTTTTTTGCTTAATGAGCTGCCAGTTAATCAGGAATGAAATCAGAGCTCAGCCTCCTGCAGGGGAATATTTCTTATTTATCTGCCCCCAGCCTGAAGAAACCTTCAGAACAACGATTTACAAGATATGAAAAAAAACTCCAAAACCCCTAAAATTGCTCGGTTCCTTTTCATCCAAAGCATTCCCGATGCCATAGGATTGTCAGCGGGGGTCTGGCACTTGTGTCAGCAGCATCCAGCCAGGAGAGAAATGGATGTGGAGCGTTTATTCCTGCAGGGAAGGCGACAGCTCCGTGCATCCCACAGGGCTCAGGTCAGCACCAGCCTCAATCCCGGGGATAAAGGCGGCTCCATCCCTTATTCTCCATGAAAATATCAGTAGGAACCTCTCAATTATGGAAAATATATGCAGAGTCTTCCCAGCAGGAATCGGCAAAGGATATTGTGCTTTTTTTTGCTGTTTTTTTTTTAATGATGCCTGGCCACTTGCTGTCGTCTCCATCACCCCACAGATCCCAGATGAGGGGAAAAGCAGGGGAGGAAGGAAAAGAGGCGGGTCCAGGTTGGGATTGGTTTTCCAGAGGGATAAAATGGTTATTCAGAGGGATAAAATCATTATCCATAGGGATAACTCCCATGGGAGAGCGGGAGCTGACGGAGATTTCAGACTCAGGCAAAGATCCAGAAAGAGAAACAAAATTGGGGATTTAACTCAAAACTGGAGCTGTGCTGGGAGGGATCTGGGTCCAAAATCAGCTCTAACAGGACCAGAATATTCCAGGGGCTGCTGGATCCGCTCAGTCCTGGAGCAGTTTGGGGACAGAGCCAAGGGCAGGCCCAGCTGGAGTTTTGTCAGCATTGGGCAGTGTTGGACACTCCAGAAGCACCTGGATGTGGCACCTGGGGACATGGGGGCCTTGGCAGTGCCAGGGAATGGTGGGACTTGGTGATGGCAGAGGCTTTTCCAATGTTAATTCCATGAAACACCAGCAACCACCATCTGTCCCTGCCAGGGAATTAACTGGTGATATTCCAGATTTTCTGACAATTTTGGCTGTGTATGGGGGGTGTGAGGAGCTCTGCTCCCCAATTCCCACAGCTCTCTCTCTCTGAGATTTCCGTTTTCCTTTTGCCATTCCCAGCAGGGCCTGGAAATTGTCAGTGTCCCATCCCACAGCTGGAGCTGAGCAAAACTATTTTAATTCCTTGGAAATCCCCACCTCTACCTACAACACGGTCAGGGAGGCTGCTCCAGTATTTCCTGCTCCGTGGAATTCCAGTAGAGTGGAATTGACTGGAGCTGTGCACAGATCCCTTTGGAAAAGCCAGGGGTGGATACGAAGGGATTCAGGGTGGTTTGGATTTACTGGGAATCATCAGGAGGGAACAGCGGAGTTTTACAAACGTACAAAGCTCCTGTGGGACAAAGGAGGGAGCGTCTGGAGCCGGGTGGGGGAAGTGGGGGAATCCACAACCAGGAAAATGTGGAAACCACACAGATACAAAGCCTGGAAAAATCCACACAAAGTGCCAGAGGAAACATTCCAGGAGTATGGAAACCCCTAGGGGTACTCTTGTGCCAACACCACATTCCCACTCCCAATCCTGCATCCCGTCAGCGACACTTCATTGTCCCCCAGAGTCCCAACGGGCACGAAGGGGCCCCAAGCAGAGGCTGTGACAACATGAACGCGCTCGCCTCCCTTTCCTCCATTCCAAGGAATCCCCATCCTGAGGATCCCTATCCTGAGGATCCCCATCCCGAAGGATCCCCATCACAAGGGATCTCCACCCAAATGGATCCCCATCTAAAGGGATCACCATCCCAAGGGATCACCATCCAAAGGGATCCCCATCCCAAGGGATCACCAGCCAAAGGGATCATCAGCCAAAGGGATCCCCCTCCAGAGGGGTCCCCATCTAAAGGGATCCCCATCTAAAGGGATCCCCATTCCAAGAGATCACCATCCAAAGGATCCTCAGCCTGAGGGATATCCCATCCAAAGGGATCCCCATCCAAAGGGATCTCCATCCCTTCCTGGGATTCTCATCCTCCATGCAACGCCGAGCAACCCCTGAGCTGAGGGCGGTGGGATGAGGGATTTCCATGCAGCCATGGCCAAAGCACCATGGGGATGGTGGGGCCATGCCGGGGCCATGCTGGGGACACGCCAGGGACATTCTGGGGACACGCAGCCGACGCCTGTCTCACCTGAGCTGGTGGTAAAGGTAATGTACGAGTGCTCGCTGGGGTGGGACCATATGGGGAACACCCACAGCTTGTACATCATCCCCGGCGTCAGATCCGCCAGCTGCACCGAGGACGGGCCCTGAGCCTTAACGGGGATTGATTTCTCTGTCTTGTTACCTGGGGAACAGAAACCGCACATCAAACCCCACCCGGACACTGCGCGGGGACACCGGGGACACTGCGGCCCAGGTGCGGGGCTGGCCCTGCAGGCTGGCCGGGAATGACACAGCTCCCAGGGAAGGGAGCTGCTGGTTTGGGATCAGTACTGAGCCAAGGAGCTGCTGGTTTGGGGTCAGTAACCTAAGGACAAGGAACTGCTGGTTTGGGATCAGTACTGAGACAAGGAGCTGCTGGTTTGGGGTCAGTAACCTAAGGACAAGGAACTGCTGGTTTGGGGTCATTTCCTGAGCCAAGGAGCTCCTGATTTGGGGTCATTTCCCAAGCCAAGGAACTTCTGATTTGGGGTCATTTCCCAAGCCAAGGAGCTCCTGATTTGGGATCATTTCCCAAGCCAAGGAACTGCTGTTTTGGGATCGTGATACTGCAGGCAAGGCACTGTGAAATCTCTGGGGATTGGGTGGGAATAATATAGTTCTGGGGACAAGGAGCTGCTGATTTGGGATCTTTCCCTGAGCCAAGGAGCTGCTGGTTTGGGGTCATTACTCTGGGGACAAGGAACTGCTGGTCTGGGGTCACTACCCTGGGGACAAGGAGCTGCTGGGGTCATTACCCACTGAGAATTGTGGCTTTGAGGTTTTGTGCCTTCAAATGCCACCAAAAAGGGGTGGACAGCCACAGCTGTCCAGAAAGGGCTGAAGTCTTCAAGATTTCCTCCCTCAGCCAAATCCTGGAGAGGGAATCCCAAGGGATTGATTCTGCTGCATGGATTCAACACCTGGGCTTGCTCCTTGTGCTTCTCAGTGACTGGGAAAAATAGGGGTGGGTTGGGAGCTGGGATACTTGGGATTTAGGGCCTGGCAAGCTTATGCGTATCCTGAAATATGGGAATTTTGGAGACCAGGCACTGCTTTGCACAGGGAATCGTTTCAAGGACAAATCAAGGTCATCTCCTAAGGGAAGCTGGAATGGCAGGAGGGGTTTCCTGCCTGGAATTACAATTTCAGGGATTCTGGACTGGCACAGCAGCAGATGTGAGGGCTGGGAAATAAACTCAGGGATGAGCAGCAGCCGGCACTGCCTCTCCAGAAACCCCAAACCAACCAACAAGACAAAAACTTCTCCCTAAACTGGCACCAAACCCAGAGATCCCGGTTCTGCTTCCAGCCCAGGACGGAGCCGTACAACGCTAAGGAACACCGAGGAAGAGGTTTGGGATCTTAGAGGATTCTGCCAACTCCAGGTTCAGGAATCCCATCTTCCAAATTCCCATCAGTTTCATTTTCCTCTCTGTTTTCCACCTCTTCCCATTGACCTCAACGTTCCCAAAGATCATCAAACCCCACGGCTGTCGGCGCACGGAGAGGGAACTCCTGGAGGACCACCTCTGATCTACCCCAACCGCCACAACCACCACGTTTTTCCCTCTATTTTTTTCCAAGCTGGCCATGGAATCATGGAATTAAATCCAAGGAAAGGGCGGGAGCTGGCAGGATCTCTAAGAGAGAGTCCCCACGTAGAGTCCCCACGCGATCTGATGCTTACTGGTGATATACTTAACCACAAAGTCAGTTCCTGCCGAGAAATTGTGGCTCCAGGTGATGTTTGCCCAGTTACTGTTTGCCATGGCTCTGACGTCCCATATGGACGATCCATTGGCGGCTGGGGGACAGGTTAGAACATGAGTTAGTCTTTAGTGGGGTTAGGCCTGGCTCAGAGGTCAAAGCTCATGAAAATATCGAAAACCTGGTAGAAACCTTACAAAACCTGGCAAAAACCTTACAAAACCTCAAAAAAAAGCCATTAAAAAACTGTACCGAAGTCTTATAAAACCTCAAAAAATTTTTAAAAACTGTACAAAAACCTTATAAAATGCCATAAAACCACATAAGGATCAAAAAATCTTCATAAAAAATTAAAAAGCCCTACAAAGACCTTACAAAAAATGTCACAAAATCCTTACAAAAAACTCACAAATCCTTACAAAATCCATGAAAGAGACCTTACAAAAACATTACAAAACCTCATGAAAACACATAAGCATCATAAAAACCTTTAAAAACCTTATAAAATCCTTACAAAAACCTTACAAAATCCTCACAAAAACCTTACAGAAACCTTAAAAAACTTCTAAAAACTTTACAAAAACTTCACAAAAATCCTTACAAAATCATTACATAAACCTGGAGCGAACACTTTGGTCTCAGCCTAAGCATGAACAAACCTCAGCCTAAGGCTGGATCGATTCTTTCCAAGATTCCCAATATTTTTAGGAAATTTTAGGGGTGTTTAAACCCAACAGCACTCGGCTCATCCTGGAATTCTTCTGGGCACATCCCTGAGGATCTGGGCCAGCGGGGAAACCTCATCCCGGAATTCCTGCATGGATGAGCACGGATCCAGTGCTGGGAGTGGCAGGGAATTGTCATTTCACTGTGGCCCCGGTGGGACAATCAGGTCACTGGTGTGTGAGGTTGAAGTTAAGGGATCTCGACGTTGCTTGGGATGAATCCTGTTCCTACAGAACTGGGAGCCAACCCCACACTTTAGTGGGGTTTTAAGGAACAGCAGAGGAGTGACACCTTGGGGTTTTATTGTCATTTTTCCTCGAGGTGTTTCAATGTTCTGATGTCATAAAACTGGGACCGACTGCCAGAATCGCTTGGGAAAAGCAAATTTTGGGGTTTTAGAGCACTGCAAGGACCTGGAGCTGTGGGGTGACCTGGAATCCCTTAAATACCAGCCTGGGTTGGATGGGGACACCGGAGGTTCCTTGTTTCCTCCTGTCCTCTTTCCCTGCTCTGATCTCTGCAGATCTCCCCTGCAGAAAGTTTTGGTGGCTTTAAAGCATTTTAAACTGATTTTATGCAAAAGTATAGAGAAATGGCTTTGAACTCAGGCATAGAATCATTCCAGACTCATCTGAGCAGGAAGAGACCCTAAAACTCTTCTCATTCCATCCCCAATCCACATTTTCCACTGTCCCAGGCTGCTCCAAACCCCATCCAAATTTTTAATCCTGATTTCTTTCCCTTTTTAGCTTGATTTATTATTTGAACAACCCTAATTATTTATAAACCATCAATTCTGTTATCCCGGCATTTCAAAAGCAGATAAATCCTTCTAGATTTATCCCTCAAACACATCCAGGAGGGAAGATTTTCCCACCAGAGTGGAGTTTGATTCTCCTGATGGTACCAGAAGACCTAGGAAACGCCTGGCACAGGGATGGTGCTGGAACTCCCACCCTTCCCCAGCGTTCCCGGGGGCTCCGGCAGCGCAGGGAGCAGCGGGATAAACCCAAGGACTCGGATAAATCCTGACAGGTCTCCTTGCTAACAGCTGAGGTGCTAAATCCGAGCTGACATCTCCTGCAGGAGCACCAGAACCCATTTGTAACAGCTCTAAACACCAGATCACACTTCAGGGGGAATTTGTAGGGTTTTCCAACTCTTCCCAAACTGCATCCGGCATCACCACACCCCCAGCAGGGCTGGGCTGTTCTCTGGTGGCGCAGAACCCTCCAGATTCCCACTGGTACTCCCAGATTCCACAGAACCTTCCAAATTCCCACTGGTACTCCCAGATTTCACAGAACCTTTCAAATTCCCACTGGTACTCCCAGATTCCACAGAACCCTCCAAAATCTCATTTGTACACCCAGATTCCACAGAACTCTCCACATTCTCACCATTACACCCAGATTCTACAGAACCCTCCAAATTCCAACTGGTACACCCAGATTCCCATCCCGGAGCAGTGGGATGGCTCCGGTTTTCCCTTTATCCCAAGGAATCGAGGTGGGGAAGGGTCCCAGTAGGGTTAGAGAGGGGTTAGAGGAGAAGGAAAGCTCAGTACCCAACTCGTGCCTGGTGGTGGCTGCCGGAGCCCTCTCGGCAGCGGCGCTGGTGCTGGCGGCGGTGCTGGCGGCGGTGCTGGTGGCGCTTGTGGTGGTTGTGGTGGTGGTTGTTGTGGTTGTGGTGTCGGTGGTGGTTGGGGTGGTTGTAGGACTGGTTGTAGGGCTGACTGTAGGACTGACTGTTGGACTGGTTTCAGGAGTGGTTTCAGGACTGGTTTCAGGACTGGTTTCCTCCACTGCGGTTGGAGGTGGCCCAGTTGCCTCTGGGAGAGGGAAACACTGGCTTTGTACCTGAGGTGGCATCTCCTGGGCACTGCCCTCCCTGGAGCGGCACGGCACGGAGCAAATCCCACCAGGAACACACAGCTGAGCCACTTTTCCTGCCCCTGGCCCCATGCGGGGATGGCCTGGGATGATCCCGGCGGCTGGGAGAGGTGCAGGAGCAAATCCCACTGGGAATGCCAGGCTGAGCAATTTTTCCTACCCTTGTCCCCATGCAAGGGTGTCCTGAGCCCATCCCAGGAGCTGGGAGAGGTGCAGGAGCAAATCCCACTGGGAACACAGGGCTGAACCCCTTTTTCCTGTCCCTGGCCCCACCCAGGGCTGGTCTGAACCCATCCCAGGGGCTGTAGCAAATCCCACTGGGAATGCCAGGCTGAGCCCCTTTTCCTACCTCTGTCTCCCTCAGCCCATTCCAGGGGTTGGGAGAGGTGCTGGGGCTGCTCCTGGTCCCCCAATTCAATCCCAGTCCCAATCCCAATCCCTGTCCCAGACCTGAATGAGCTGCTTGTCCTCTGCCTTTCCCCTGCCCATCACCCTCCTGGGATAAACCAGCACGGCCAGCCTGGGGAAATGCAGCTGAGAGGACGCTCAGGTTTGTCCTCACCCCATTGTCCCACGGCATTCCAGGAAATGGGATTTAGCTTACGCACTAATCCCATTAATTCCATTAATCCGGCTGCCCCTGGACTACAACTCGAGCATTTTTGGAGCTGCCAGCTCAGCCTGCAGCTTCCCAGCTTTTTCCAGCCTGGAGAAGGAGCAGCTTAGGCATCGAGGGGGGTTTAACTGGCGGGGGAGGGAGGGATGGAGCCCGGGCAGCCCTGTCCCTCCCAATTTACATTGGAATGAGGGTTTGGAACACCGCGAGCAGTCCAGGGGGATAACTGGGCGTGGTTTGTTTGTCAACTGGCTCACTCGGGCTGTGATCCCAAGGAAAAGCAGGAATGTGCCCCAAGGAAAGGGGGAAATGTGTCCTTTTAGCCACCCTGAGTGGGGTGAGGGTCCCACAGGGAGGGAGGGGGGCACTGGATGGGGCTGGAACCTTCCAGTAGAAAACGCGGCTGGAATTCAGCTCCATATACCAAAGGTGACTCCGAGGGGACTCACCCCGGCACATTCTGGTTAAATTATATTTATCATCATTATTCCTGTGGGCCACGGGATTCCAAATCCCTCTGATGGGCGAAGGAAGCCAGATTTTATAAATATCGCCCTCAAACCACAACAGCTCTAGGGAAGCACTTTAAAACCAGTCCTAGGACCAAGCCAGGCTTTTCTTTCCCACCCCCACCCCCCATCCCCAAGGAGAGCCAAGCCCTGAAACTCAGCATCCAAAGGCTGAGAGGGGCAGGAGCTCTCTCAGTCCATCTGAGATGCAAAATTAGAGTTTGAGCACAGCTGAAAGCACCAGCCCGGGTCAGGGGTGACCCCAGAGCAGCCCCAGGTGCTCAAAAACTCCAGCTCAGCTCCAGGGGTGCCCACAGAGCACTCCCGGGTCCTCACACTCCCCCTAAAACTCCAGGCCAGCCTCAGGGATATCTCCAGAGCACCCCTGATTCCTCAAAAGTGCCCCAGTAGCAGCCACAGTTACCCCAAAAACCCCATCCATACCCAGAGCACCCCCAGCTCCTTAAAAGCAGCAGTCCAGCCACCGAGAGCAGCCACAGTCACCCAAAACCCCCATCCGGCCCCAAGAGCAGTCACAGCCACCCCAAAACCCCCACCCGGCCCCACGAGCAGCCACAGTCACCCCAAAAACCCGCAGCCCAGCCACTGAGAGCAGCCACAGTCACCTCAAAACCCCTGTCCGGCCCCAGGAGCAGCCACAACCACCCCAAAAACCCCATCCGGCCCCATGAGCAGCCACAGTCACCCCAAAACCCCTCCCGGTCCTCTCGGCGCTGACCCCACAGCATCGCGACCTCATGCACCCCGATCCGAAGCCCCCCGTGCACAGCCCGTCCCTGCCCCGGCCCGGGGGGTCCAGCCCGGCCAGGGGGAGGTGACAGGGAGGGGACACATCCAAAGGCTCGGCTTTGCCCTCGCGTGCTCGTGGTGAGCCGAAAATAAAAAATAAAACAAAAGGGATTTTTTGCGTTTTGCCCTTCTGGGTTTGTTCCGCAAGGACTTGGCGGGGTCCCGAGGCCGCTAAAAGCTTTTCCTGCGCTGGGATTTGTCCCCATCCATCTCCGCGGATTGCTGGCGGGTTTTGGGGGTTAAGAGATTGGTGTCGCCGGGTTAATGTCCCCATTAACGGGATGGAGCCGCGGCGGGGGCTGGGAACACTCAGCTAATGCAGGCTGGGCATTCCCTCGGGAATCCCGGCTCCCCTCGGAGGAAAACGAGACCTCAAAAGGCACAAAGTGAATTTGGGGAAGGTTGGAGCTGGCGGAAAACCCGGCACGGCTTTCCAGCTTCCATCGGAGCTCTCCCAGAGCAGCAGAAATTCAGTTTTAATGCTCCTCCAGACTTTAGAATGGAAGAGATTATCCGGGATAAATCTCTGAGCATCCCTCACGCACCCAAATCCTCGGGGATTCTGCCCCGCCTGGAGCACCGGGTTGAGCTGCCGGAGGCTCCAGGCAGGGTTTGCCCTCCCTGCCCCACTTCCCTGGCTCTGGGGGAAGCGATCCCCGCCAGCGGAGCCGTCACTTCCCATCAGGATAACCCGGGATGGATCCGAGCGAGACCCGGGAGGGGATGCGGGGATGAAAATCAGCCTGGCAGGAGCGGGGACAGGTGAAGAGTGGGATGGGGTGAGCTGGAAAACTCGGGAGGGCAGGGTGGGAGTGCGGCTCCCACGGAGAGGGAGGGTGGGGCTGGATCCTAAACCGCTCCGGGATGCGGAGCTGTGGCCTCGGCTGGGTTTAAATCTGAAATGGATGCGGGAGCAGAGCTCAGATTTGGGGACGGGGAGATCGGGGGCGTTCGCTGGGATTTGGAATCCATCCCCTAATGAGGGCTGGGGGGGATCTCAGGGATCAGAGGGATCAGAGGGGTCAAGGGGGATTTCAGGGATCACATGGATCCCAGGGATCCAATATCCCTCAAACTAAAGGGATCTCAGGGATCAGAGGGATCTCAGGGACCAAGGGCGATTTCAGACATCCCATGGAGATGATATTGCCCAAAGAAAAAGGATCTCAGGGATTTCAGGGATCAGAGGGATCAAGGGGGATTTCAGGGATCACAAGGATCCAATATCCCCCAAAGAAAAAGGATCTCAGGGATCCCAGGGATCATAGGGATCTCAGGGGTCCAGGGGGATTTCAGGGTTTTCAGGGATCCCAGGGATCCGCTATCCCCCCAAAGAAAAGGGATCTCAGGGATCCGAGAGTCCCTTCCCGGGGTCCCCTCTCGCTGCCACCAGGAGTGACAAAGATCCCAAAGGGATCAGGAGACCCAGGCTGGCATTCCCGGACCTTTGGAAAGCCTGGAAATCACATCCATCCTCCTAAAAACGGCTGTGGTGCTCCAGGCACGGCATTCCCGAGCTTTGCGGAGGAGCTGGAGTTGTTTTCCTGCATTCCCAGGGCTTGGACAGAAAGTTTGGGGCCAGGGTGGAGCACCTGGAATTTGTGGGATGGGGGAAAAAAATCCCCCTTTTCCCAAAGAGAGCAGCCAATTCCCCATCCCATATGGGGCAGCACCTGGGAATTGCTCCAAGCGGGAAGAAATCACCCGGGAAATTCGGATTAAAAACCACCAGCAGCAATTCCCGGCTCTTTATCCCATTTTAGCCGAGCCCATCTTCCTGGAAAGCACCAAACGAGCACTCAGCTTTTAATTGCCTCCCTTTCAAGGCTTTTTCAAGATCCATTATTCCCTCTCAGGGAAGGATGGGGGGAAGACGATGGATTGAAGATGCAGCAATTAATAATTTCACTAATGAGAGATGCTGAGCTCTTCGCTGCCTCCCCAGCCAGGAGTGAGCAGTAAAAAAGAAAAAAAAAAGAGTCCAAACCTTCCACAAAAACCTGTTTGAAGTTCAGATTAGGGGGAAAAATCCCAGAGAGGGAGATCCTAAAAGAAAACCAGGATTTTTTAAAGGGAAGCTCTAAGGAAAAGACACAAATGCTGCTCAGAGTAGGATAATTAATGAAAAGTGTCTCTTTTTTTTTCTTTTTTCAGAAGGCAGAAAACAATCCCAATCTGTGCTGCTTTTTAATTATTTAAAGGTGCTTTTAATGTGTTGTTGGGCTGTGGCAACAGCTTTCCCTGGGGTGTGTCTACAAAATAATGAGGCTTGGAGAAATTGGGATGAATTTTTCATGATTTTTGATGATTGGGCCGAGGACATTGGCAGAGATTTATTTTTAATTCTCCCAGTTCTTACCAAGAGAATGGAATTGGGAGTCCATGGCTGTGAAGTGCTGAAAATCCGACGTGGAAAGAGAAGAAATTGGAGAAGAGAAGGGGGTGATGGAGCAGAAAAAGAAGGCTCAGAAATTCCTTCTGTTTCTAAAATGAAAAATGATATTTCTCTTCAAATTCCCATTTATGGACAGAGAAAAGTCAGGATTTTCCCTTTGAGTCTAACCCGGTGTCTTTATGCTCCCAGATTAATTTTTTTCCATAAGGATGGAGAATCAAAAATCCAATTTTGGATTTTTTTTCTTACTTGGAGCATAAATAAAAACTCTTTTTAAATCTCCTCTTTTCCCCAAATCTCCTTTCCTGTTGCCCAAAGCCTGGCTTAGGAAAGGTGAAGCCTTTCCTGAGGGAAAATCCCTGCACTTCACTTCGATTCCATCACCTGCTCCGGTTCCTCCTGGCCCTGTGTCAGGTTTTCCCTGAAAAATGAACTTTTCATTCCCTGTCAGTGCCAGCCATGGCAAGGAGAATTTTCCTTCAATTCAGGACAAATTCCATAAAAATCCATCCGATCTGGGTCAGCCAGCGGAGATGGGGAAGGTCAGGGAGCATTTCCGAGGAATTTTTGGGAAGAGAAACATCCTCTGGAGCCTGAGGAGGCTTGAGG